CTTACATGACAACTTTTTTTTTTTTCGTTTGGTCAGACCCTTCCCTCATGTCCGCTGGCGAGATTCAATTGCGCAATATGCAGCACTCTGTTGCCGTTCATAGTCCCGCAGGTATTGTTTTGTGTGTTAGATTTTTTGTTTTTTTTTTGAGGGGGGAGAATCACGATGGCAAGATCGAGTCGTTCATGCTCGAACCCAAAACTCACACTTCAACTTCTGTGGCATGTAGCGGACTTCCTGGCATCGAGGTCATTTAGGGGCCTGGAGCAACAGCTGGGTGAAACTCAAGTGGTTGCTGCAGTCGAGGGCCGACGAGGGATTGCCAGCGGCTATACAGATGAACAACCTGCACGACATGACAGTTGATTTGTTTGTTTACTTTGTAATACACTACTATACTGACAAAATTGGCTGGAGTACAATGTTCCACGATGCAACAGCGAGTATTTACATGATCGAGTGAAATAGTCGACCATTCACGCGAGTGTGTCAATCAAACTGGGGCGTACTCATGACTGTCTTGAATCTTTCGACCTGCTGCGGAGAGAGAAGGTTTTTCATCGCAGTGACGAGCGCCTCAAAGTCAGCTTCAAAGATATCTTCTGGTTGTTGTTGTTGTTCTTGTGGCGGTGATGGTGATCGATCATTTTCTTGCTTGAGCGATTCCGACTGCATGCTCGCATTGGAATCCGCCGGAAGCGGGACCATAAAATACGTGCCCGGGGCAAACCGGTTGTACAGGTGTGAACGAATGGCGCGTACAACGTCATGATAGTTGTCTTCCTTTTTGATGCTTTCAAACCATGCGGCCATCGGGTGATACACTTGCTCGATTGTGGCGTGGTCCAAGGCACTTGACAGGCCGGGAGCAATCTGGGCTGAAGCCTCGAGTTCCAGGCTTTGAAAAAAGTGGCCGAGAACGTGCGGATAGGCTTGAAACAAGTTGGAGACTTCGAGAATCAGCGCCTCTTTGTTTATTCTGCAAGAGGATCGGATAGAATACGAGCAGAAGTGAGTCAAAGAAGAATTTGCTCTATCAATTGATAAAGCAAAGTGGCAACGGCGAAATCCCTCTTTCCTCGAAAACGATCTGCAAGCTCTCGCAAATAATACCAGACACGGCGAGGACTTACATTGCGCGCTTGTACTCGTCCATCAAGGCGAGGAACCGAAGGTAAATGTTGGACCGCGACGCAAAGTACACGCGTACAAACTCGACAAAGCGCTGCATGTTTTCCTCGGGTGCGGCTGCGATCCCCTGAGATTCAACGTGACCGCGCTGACTCTGTTGCAGGCTGTTCATCACGCTTTCTTAGTGAGCACCTTGAACATTGCATAGTTAACCATCTGCAACGACCCACCTGGGCTCAGGCACCGTGGTGTCCATTTTGGATTCTTCAGCAGAAGACTCTTCTGCTTCGGCGGTCGAAGAATGACTCTTATGCATGCTGCAGCTAGCTTGTCAGCTCATGTGTTGTACACAATGCTACATCTGAACGAAATGCCTTTCTCTTACCCAAACGATCCAGTCGTCGTGCCATTCACTTGATCATGAGACTCGAGCTGGCTTTGAATCCTTGTTTCGCGTGATGTGAGCATAACCATCGTTGAACTTCAGACGATACCGGCGAGCGGCACGTTTCATTCAGCTAGTTTGAGCAAAAAAACTTACGAAAGCTGACAATTTGCCTTGCAGGCTGCCTTCAAGGCCGTGACACCGGAATGAGAAATGGAATTGCCGTCCAGACTGTGGGTGTTCATTGGATATGATGAGATAAACGGCATGGAACTGCCCTTTCCCCGATCTCAAGTCACATACAGGAGCTGAATCAGCGTCGTGTTCACTTTGAGTGCTTCTGCAATCGCATGTGCTCCAACATCGCCAATTTGATTCATATGCAAGCTGCCCGTCTAACAGTGAGCGCTCTAAACGGCATTTGCTGGATTGACCACTCATATAGTACAGTCAAAGTGATCTGCCTTACTCGAGCTGAGCGAGCGTCTTGTTCTCTTTGAGTGCTTCAGCAATCGCCTGCGCTCCAGCATCGCCAATCTGATTGACCTGCAGACTGTCCGTTCCTCTCTCAGTGAGCATTCTTCATGCTCTTCTGGATCACCCACTCACAAGCAACAGTTCAAAGTGAGATGCCTTACAAGAGCATAGTCAGCGTCGTATTGACTTTGAGTGCCTCAGCAATTGCCAGTGCTTCGGCAATACCAATCTGATTCCCACTCAATCTGGCTTCATTTCGTCAACATGTGCACGATCACATTTCCAACAAATCCGGCATTTGCTTACACGACCGCCCCATTCCCGTTCTTGACGTGGTCATACAACCCGAGCTGCCTCGGAGTCATACTCTGTTGTAAAACGTCCTCCCTACAAGAGTTCAAATGTCACAGAGCACAACCGTTTAACTCTAAAATCCAGGCAAACGGCATGCTTCATCCTGTCAGTGGTTAATAAACAGAGTTCTTACAAATGTAGCCATCTTTTCTTGCAGACTGCCTTCAAGATCAGGACACCGGATAGAGAAAAGCGATTGCCGTCCAGACTGTGGGTTTTGAGGTGTCCATTGAATATTATGAGATAAACGGCTTGATGATGCCTTTTTCCCCGATCTCAAAGTCAACATACCCAATCATAGAAAGCGTGGTGTTCACGTTGAGCGCCTCAGCAATCGCTTGCGCACCAGCATCGCCAATCTGATTCCGGTTCAGACTGTCCATACCATCAGTGAGCCATGCTGAAATCTTCGCTCACGAGCGGCAGTCAGCGTGAGGGATGCCTTACTGGAGCTTCTTCAACGTCGTGTTCACTTTGAGTACTTCAGCAATCGCCCATGCACCATCATCGCCAATCCGATTTTCACTCAAACTGTTCATCTCTCCATCAATGAGCCACTAATACCCTCAGCTTGATCACCCCACGAGCAGGCGTAAATCAAAGTGAGATGCCTTACCTGAGCAGAGTCAGCGTCTTGTTCTCTTTGAGTGCCTCAGCAATCGCCTGCGCTCCGGCATCGCCAATCTGATTCCAGTCCAGACTGTTTATCCCCTCCATCAGTGAGCACTTTTCTGAATCACCCACTCACATGCACCAACAAGAGATGCCTTACTAGAGCGTAGTCAGCGTCTTGTTCACTGTGAGTGCCTCAGCAATCGCTTGCGCTCCAGCATCGCCAATCTGATTCCGGTCCAGACTGCCCATTCCATCAGTGAGCCATGCTGAAATCTTCACTCACTAGAGTCAGTCAACGTGAGGGATGCCTTACTAGAGCGCAGTCAGCGTCTTGTTCACTTTGAGTACTTCAGCAATCGCCTGCGCTCCGGCATCGCCCATCCGATTTTCAAAACTGTTCATCCCTCCATCAGTGAGCCACTCCGAATACCCTCTTGAAGGCACCCACTCAAATGCAGCGAAAGTCAGATGCCTTACTAGATCGTAGTCACTGTCTTGTTCTCTTTGAGTGTTTCAGCAATCGCCTGCGCTTCGGCATCGCCAATCCAGCTCGCACTGCCCATCCATTTCGTCAGTACACACGCACGATCACACTGTTCCAATATTTTGGGCGTTTGCTTACCTGAGCTCTCCACTCGTATTCTTGATTTTGTCGTGCAGCTTGCGCAGTCTCTCGGCCAACTGGCTATTGTCCACCAGCATGCTTTCAACGTCTCTGATGTGATTTTAAAAGTCAGTTCATTTGCTTTCCTGTTCCCTGCGTCATATCCTCAGTTCAAAGACAAACAACCCTCCCCCCGCCGGCATCCCAACCAGCATTCACTCTTCACACGCAAGAGACTGCAGCATCAAGCGAGAGGAGCAGCGGAGGGTTCAACGAGAAAGACAAGCGTCATTGTACCGCTCAAGGAACCGTTCTGACTGCTCAGAAAGTGAAAGACTTTGACATACAATAAAAGCAGACTGAACAGCTCGTTTTGCATTAAAAAAGCTCAATTGAAAAGGTTTGCATGGTTCATCCGATACAGCTAGTGGAACATAGCTGATCGAACACTTTCTGAGTCAGTTGAATGCTCCGAAATACAGTACAGTACCATCCATTTTACTGTATCACGCCTTCTTGAATTACTGTATGTCTCATCCAACAATCTGAATGACAAAACACTACTGTACGGGGTCTGAGCGATACCAGGGAGCCTTTATTGCCTCTATTGCTCTGTCAAGATGGAGGATTTTAGAGTTTCTTCGGCTAGCATTCGACTTCAGCAGCTCAAACCCCCAACCCCTCAGTTCACTTGTACTGCACAATACTGCATCGCTCGTAAAGCACCAACCTTTCCCCCCTAACCCTTCCCTCAAGTTCTCAGACAAGGCAGTCTTTCTTCTTTCAATCTGCGCTCTGCTTCCACAATGTTTGAAAAGTCTCTGAACGACCTGATCCGCGGCATCCGCAACAACAAGAACAATGAGGCCAAGTTTGTTGCAACTTGCCTTGCCGAGATCAAGGTCGAGCTCAAGCAGGACAACATTGCCGTCAAAGCCACAGCCGTCGCCAAGCTGAGCTATGTAAAGTCATTGAAAAGTCATATTATTTTTTTTATTTTTATGAGAACGCCATTTTCGCCTTTTTTTTTTGAGTCAGCACAACGAAATCAGCAAATCCCAGGCTACTATCAACCAACCACACACACGCTTCCCCCCCCCCCACTGTGTCGGTCTGGCAGTGACAGCGGGAATGCAGCTGGCGAGGGCCAAGCTAACTCATATGACTTTTTTTTTTTTTTTTTTTTTGATGTTTGATGCCGCGATGGTCTTTTGATGCTGAACGAGAGGGGTCAGGGGGTTGGCGGCGGTCACGTTGAGGTCTCAAACGAGCTAAAGTAAGAACAGAGGGGCCAGCGCATGTGCATGGGCGAGCTGCACAGCCATCGCATCAAACGAGCGGCACGAGAGAATGCCGTGGCAGTGAGTGGCGAGATCTCAAATTGCCGCTTCACTCTCAACGGCCCCTGCAGCTCGCCATGGCCCATGCACTGCGATTGCGAATTGCTGTCCTCTCGTTGTCGGGACACGTCAAACCACATTGCTCAACGCGATGGCAATCCAACGCGTCAACAACATCCAAACGAAACGTTTTTTTTTTTTTTTTTTTTTTTTTGGTGAAAGTTGCTGACCTGCGTCTCGCTCCTCTTCAGTCATTCTGATGTCCTCTGTACTGACCCCTTGCTTGCTTGGAATAATGCTCTGCTTGCATCGATCAAACAACAAAAAAACTTGACAGCTGCAAATGCTCGGCTTTGATGTCAGCTGGGCTGCATTCAACATTATCGAGGTCATGAGCTGCTCGCGTTTCACGCTCAAGCGCATTGGCTACTTGGCTGCATCACAAATCTTCCGTGAAACCACCGACGTCCTCATGCTGACCACCAACATGATCAAGAAGGTACATGTCTGCACTCCCACCCGACCTTTTTTTTTTTTTTTTTTTTCAAAAACATGTTTGTTTTGAACGATTATCTGCTCACCCCGCTCTCTCAATCACTCGCCACTGCGCGCCCCGTGCACAGGATCTTGCCAGCCAAAATCCCTTCGAATCAGGCATGGCGATGAACGGCCTCAGCAACTTCATCACCTTGGATCTCGCCCGCGATTTGGCAAACGACATTGTCTCCATGGTCAACTCATCTCGCCCGTACGTGCGCAAGAAGGCTGTTCTCGTCATGTACAAGGTGTTCTTGAAGTTCCCCGAGGCCCTGCGCCCGTCCTTCCCTCGGCTGAAGGAGAAGCTCGAAGATCCCGATCAGTCGGTGCAGTCGGCAGCAGTCAACGTTATTTGCGAGCTTGCCCGCAAAAACCCAAAGAACTATCTGCCGCTCGCGCCGCTCTTCTTCAAAATCCTGACAGAGTCCAGCAACAACTGGATGCTCATCAAGATTGTCAAGTTGCTCGGCTCGCTCACACCGCTCGAGCCACGCTTGGCCAAAAAGCTGGTTGAACCCCTCACCACCATCATCAACTCCACCCCTGCCATGTCGCTCTTGTACGAGTGCATTGCTACCGTCATCAGCGGCATGACCCAGCACGAGGCGATTGTCCAACTTTGCGTTGGCAAGCTGCGCCTGTTCGTCGAGGACAACGACCAGAATCTCAAGTACCTCGGCCTGCTCGCCCTCGGCTCCATCCTGAAGACGCATCCCAAGCCTGTTGCCCAGCACCGCGACCTGGTGCTCAAGTGTCTCGACGACAAGGATGAATCCATTCGCCTGCGCGCCCTTGATCTGCTTGTCGGCATGGCGACCCGCAAGACGCTTGTGGACGTTGTCAAGCGCCTGCTTTCACACATGGGCGCCATCGAGCTTGCTCCCTACCGTGACGAAGTCATCTCGCGTATTGTTCAGATGTGCAGCCAAAACAGCTACCAGCTCGTCACTGACTTTGAGTGGTACGTTTCGATTCTGGTCGAGCTGACTCGCGTGCAAGGCACTCGCCACGGTGCCTTGATTGCCAGCCAGCTGATGGACGTGGCCATTCGCGTGCGCGTCGTTCGACCCTTCGCTGTCAAGCACATGGCCGCACTGGTGACGGACTCGCACCTGATCACCGGTTCACACGAAAAGAACGGCGTTTGCGAAGTTCTGCATGCCGCTGCCTGGCTTTGCGGCGAGTACGCAGACCTGTTGCTCACCCCGCTCGAGACTGTCACCGCCATGACCCAACAGCGCGTTTCCACTCTCCCCGGCCACATTCTGTCCGTGTACATTCAGTCCTGCGTCAAGATCTACGCTGCTCTTGCCGGCCGAGCTGTCGGCTACGAGCGCCCCGTTGATCAAGGTGAGGAGGAAGAGGAGGAAGAAGACGACGACTCGGTCGCTCCCAAGCTGGAGCCGGAGGAAGCTTCCGTCCTCGTTCCCAAGCTCGGCCAGGTTCTGCTTGCTCGTCTCCCGCTGTTTGTCCAACATGGCGATTTGGAGGTGCAAGAGCGCAGCTGCTCCACCCTGGCGCTCGTGCGTCAGGTCAGCGCTCAGCTCTATCCTGGCGGCTCCAAGCCTGCCGCTGCTGCCAAGCCCAGCAATGGCGTTAATCTTCTCGGCGACCTCGACCAAGATGCCCCCGCCGAGGAGGAGGAGGAGGTCTCTGAGGACGAAGTTGAGTCAGAGATCAACAAGCCGATTGCCCTCGAGTTGGCGCGTCTGTTTGAGGGCGAATTCAACCCTGTCGCATCCAAGGCCCAACGCAAAGTCCCAGTTCCCGAAGGTCTGGACTTGAACGCTTGGATTAACACCCCGCCTGCACCGGTAGAGTCGGATGATGAGCACGATCAGGATGACTTTGCTCTTGTCAAGGACGCCGGCTCGCTTGTCGGTGGAGCTGGTGCCTTTGGCTCCAAGATCAAGGAGGAGCCGCTCGACCCCGAGGAATTGCAGCGAAGGCGTGATGCCCGCAAGGCCGCCGAGTCCATGAACGTGCACTACCTCAAGGACCGCAAGCGCTCGGACACGTCGCCGCTGACGGGCCCGAACGTGGACGACATTCCAGTCGCCAAGCTCGACTTTGGCCTCAAGCTTCAAATCGACGGCGACGACGGCAAGAAGGGCAAGAAGGGCAAGAAGGGCAAGAAGACTGCCGAAGAGGAGCAGGAGGAGGCCGCTGCCGCTGCCGCAGCTGCCCGCCGAAAGAAGATTGTTGTCAAGAAGAGCCAAGACGACGACGATGACGATGACGCCAGCCGGGATCGTCGCGACGCGACTTCCAAGGCCCTTGACGTCGATCTGACCGCCCCGCTCGAGACGCACGAAACACTGCCCATGCAGTCGCACCGCGTGGCCAATTCGTCCAAGATTGACAGCGATGACGGTTCCGACAAGCCTGCGAAGGGCAAGAAGAAGTCCAGCTCGTCCAAAAAGGCCAGCAAGGGCGACGCCTCGGAGGACGGCGAGAAGAAGAAAAAGAAGAAAAAGAAGGCGAGCGCCGATGCCGACGAATCGCCCAAGTCTTCCAAGTCCAAAAAGACCAAGAGCTCGTCCCTCGTTGATGTTGCTGCATCCGAGCCTGCTGCTGCTGCAGCAGCAGCAGCCTCTCCTCGACCAAAGCTCAAGCACGCTGATTCCGCTGCCTCTGCATCGCCCATGGTGACCTCGGTCAAGAGCATGGACGATCTCAACTTTTGGTTGACTGGAGATGCAAACGCTGCCGCACCCGGTTCGCCGGCCTCTTCGTCTACCGCTGCCGACGACAGTGGCAGCAAGAAGAAGAAGAAGAGCGTCTCAGCCGCTCCGGAGCCTGTCGCGGCGGCTACCCCCGAGAAGGCACGCAAGTCAAGCAAATCCGCAGCGTCGGCCGCGCCGCCTGCTGAAGAGGACGATGAGGACGGTGGCAAAAAGTCCAAGAAGAAGTCGTCCAAGTCGAAATCCTCTGCTTCCGCCGCCCCCGAGGCAGCCGACCTGCTCATGGGTGACCCGCAGACCACGTTTGGTGAGCGCAAGCAGCTCGCATCCGACGCCAATCTCGGTTTGTTTGCCTCGACAACCGTCAGTCTCCTGGACGGCAAGGGCGTTCATGTCTCCCTCACCTTGGACAACCGTTCGGGCTTTGACATGTCCCGTGTCGAGATTTCCGTCTTGGATTCCATCAACGCAAAGCTTGAGCGCCCGCCAGGCTCGTCTTCCGGCGACAGCATCAAGATTGACGCCACCCTTCCAACGGGAACGCTGTACATGTGCCCGACTCTTTCGTTCGTTGTTCAGGACATTAGCGTGGCCCAAAAGCTCAAGGGCTCCGTGACGTACCTCGTTGACACGGCGCAGGGCAAGACGAGCGACAAGTTGGACTTCCGCTTGGTTTTGCCAACCTCAGGCTTTGTGGTTGCCGCACCCTGCAAAAAGTCAGAGTTTGCTTCCATCTTGGCCGAGGGCGAGCTTTGTGCAGCGCACCAGCACAAGGCCGCTCTGAAAGAGGGCGTGTCCTTGGCCAACGCTGTCGACATTATTCGTGGCAAGCTGCACCTGTCCATCGTCGAGGCGCTGGATGTTGGCATTTCCCTCTACGGCCGAACCAACCAGCAACACCACGTGTGCGTGCTTGTCAAGCCGACCAGCAATGGCCAAGGCGTGTCGGTTGATGTCAAGACGTCCCAACCACAAGCTCTCGCCGCCTCGCTGATTGAAGAGTTGAAGGAGGTGTTGTAGAGCGGTTGACCTCTCATTCTCGGTGTGTGTGTGTGTTGATTTTTACGTGTGCATGCGCGAATTTCTGAGTTTGTAATTTTTTTCTTGTTGTGATTTAATAGCGTATGCTTTGCCCATTTCATGTTGACATTCTGGAGGAGTAGATGTGGCTTTGAACACGACGCATTCAATCAACTCGCCTGCAACATTTCAAAGCTCTTCTCGAAAAAATCTGCTGCCAAGTATGGGCGGAAGAAGAGATCGGAAGTGCAGGCAAAAAAGACCATGTTCAGGGTGGTGGCAGGCAAATCCGACTCCTTTGTGAGGGCGGCCGTAAACCGAGGGTACGTCCGTTCAATGTACGACTGTAGCACGCATGCGTTGCCGTGCAGGAAGAAGAAGAGGAAGTTTTCGCCAGTTGCAGCGCCAAGGGTACACCACATGATGAGTTCGTGGCTCAAACCCAGCAGCCCGAAAACAATGTTGACGGCGATAAGCGAGTACACGAGCCCTTCACTGGGCGCAGATACGGGTGTAGCTGCGTTGCTTGCCGCGGCATGGCCGCCTTTAGCTGCAGCAGGTGGCGTGTCTGTTGTGCTTTTGCTCGAAGCGCGCGCCGTAGCTTTGGTGTCGGAGCCTTTGAACACGAGCTCCCCGTCCGCGTTGACTTGAGCGCCGCCCGCAGCTGTCATGCGGTCGACCTGACGGACACGATTCCAGGCCTTGCCCGCGAGAAGTAGTCCCCGCATCAACGCCTGGTTGTAGATGACGCGTACGATCGTATTCCACCGCCGACCCCAAAAGTCTCGCGGCGAGGCTGAGGCAAACGGCGAGTTCCACAAGTCGACTAGCTTGACGCGCATGGTTAGTGCGAGCACCATAGCAACAAAGTCGAGCAGCGCCGACAGCAGAAGGTAGAGAATCACGGCGTACAGGCTGGACCGGAGCACCCAGCCCAGCACGTGAAAGTCAACCTCTTCTCGGATGAGGGTGCCGTCCGGACCCATCACAACCGTCGGACGCGACTGCTGCTGGCGGAGTTTGAGCCAGTGGCGCATCACGAACGCCAACAAGACCAGCTTGAACGCGCCGTGAGCCAAAGCAAGCGCGACTTGCGACATTGGAGGATGATTGGACTTGGAGGCAGCAATCACCGATGCTTGCTTTGCTTGAGTCGTTGCAGCATTGCTGACCTTGGTGGAGCTCGTCGGTTGCGCCGGCGTGGGAGCAGTGAGTGTTGTCAACAGCCATTGCAACGGACCAAGAGGCGGACTCGACGTGCGATGCCCATCGCCAACCAGATAAAACAGGATCTGGACATAAACACACACACACGCACGTGCAATGCAGGTCGTGGAAGAAAATGTCAGAGCAAGGACGAAACAAAATCTAAACGAAACAATGCGAAAAAACCAACAAAACAAACGCCATTCTCAGATTTTCTGGTTGTCGCCGGTGTTTTTGTTGGTTACCGTGGCAGCGAGCAGCATGTATGCACAGGAAACAAGCCACGCTATGAGTGGAGTGACATGGCTTTCTGGATTGTTGACAGACAGCACGACAGCGGCCTTGATCACCATGCCAATGGGCGGCAGGGCAATGACGAGTCGGAGCAGCGACCAGAGCGCGGCCTGTGTGAACGCAGCGCGCGTCGTGATGAGCGGCAGCCGCGGGAGGAGCGGGAAGAAGAAGAGCACAGTCATATCGCAGTACGCGAGGGCGAGGCTGCAGAGTCCCAGCGACTGCACATACGGCTCGTCCATTTCTGTACAAGGCCAAAAAAAAAAAAAAAAAAGACTGAGACAGGCAGGGTTGGATTTGGATAACGAAATAAGGACTTTCTCGTCTCTCATGGCGAGTTTGCAAAGATTGGCCGGATGATGTGCACTCGCTTGCCGCTAGAATTGAGGGACGAAACCCAACGGAAAACAAAATGGAAAGTAGCGCCCAAAACCAGCAGACGAGATTATAATTGAAACAACTAACAGAGCAGAGCATACATCCTGAAATGAACCAAACTCACAACAACGAAGAATAGAAAAAAACGAACATTGCCGCATGTTTGGAACACCTCCCCCTCCCACAAAATGGAGGGGGGCACAGAAAGAAATCAATGCAAGTGATTACTGACGGAACCAGAGCACCTCGCCGGTGGCGTCGACAAAGCGGCACACGTTGAAGCTGCGCCAGAGAGCAACAGCGATCGGAGTGTCGTCTCGTCGGTAGTACTCGCCAAGCAGGGGCTTGAGCGCGGCGGTGGCCTCCTCGGCATGGTAGTGAGGCATGTACGAGAAGACGTGGTGGGTGACGTGCGTGTCGCCAATGTGGTGGAAGACGTGGTTGAGCAGACCGAAATCGCGATCGACGGTGCACAGGGCGCCGCGGAGCCAGCTCCACTCGGTGCCGCGGAAGTGGGGCAGGGTCTCGTCGGTGTGCTGAAGGTAGGTGATGAGCACGAGCCAAAAGTTGACAATCAGCAGCGGCACGACATACTGGGCAAAGAGCCAGGCGAACGAGTACGTGTAGGCGAGGCTGCCGAGCCCGGCAAGCACGACGAGGAGCGCAGCATCCGAGAGAACGACCAGCCAGTACTCGTCCTTGCTGAACATGGGCGACCATGGCTCAAAGTGGTTGTTGCGACGCTCGTACTTGTGGCCGGTGACGTGGGTGGTGAGGTAGGCGGGCCAGCCGAACAGCAGCGTGATGGCGATTTCGATGCAGACGCGGAGGGGGCCGGGCGCGCCGAGCTGGCGAACGGGGTCGTTTTCGGGCAGCCACATAGGGAGCAAAGCCTCGTCGCGATCGGCATCG